CCGATCTGACCTCCTCCGTTTTTTTTTTTTTATTTTCCAAGATCAAGAAAGACATGAAGGATCGTCATTGGGGGTCACGAGCGGAGGTAGAATAGTTGACGCGTGTTTTAAACAGCCTCACGGAGAATGATTTTGAAGAAGAAGGGACTATTTTAAAAGGGACCGTGTATTAGATAACGAATAAATGTGTTCTGTAATCGTAATAAATATTTTCTACGTACTTAATTGTCTGTCCTCGTATATGTCATATTTCAAAACATTGACAAAAGCATGAAAATTTCGTAGACTGTTCTACTATTTCATCTGAGTATCTGTGCAAAATCTGAGCACGATTCTCTTAACGGTTTGGAAATTATTTAAGTTTAAAGTTGGTATTGATTCTTATGGAAAATCGCGTATTGTAGCACTTATTGACAAATTTAACAAGGAAAAAACGTTGCCAGAGAAACAAAAATTTTTACATATATTAAGAAAACTCTAATAAATATTTGTGCAAAACTTGATTTAGATCCACTTACTCGTTTAAAACTTATTTACTAAAAATTGTAGAAGAATATTATCTGCCTTTCTCTCTCTTTTTCTGCAAATTACTCGTTCTTTTGTTTTTTCCTGATGATTTCAGGAGGTATTCACGATTAAAAGTTTTTGTTATAAATTAGGAAAAATATTAATTACAACTATTGTATTTTCTTTTACGAAGACCTTAAAAACTATATTATTTTGTGATACTATAATTCTTTTTATAATCTGGATTTATTTATTTGATTTTTCAAACAGTATAAACGTAAGAAATATGATTTTTTTTTTAATTTTGACAGTTTTTTGTTACTATTGTATAGCCAAAACATCATTTTTTAACAGGAAAACATAAATTTTCCAATTGTGTATAAATAACTCTCCTCGAAAAGATTACAAAAAGTTTTGCAATTATAATACTCTTTATTGACGCTAATAGTCAATAATTAATCTGCTATAAAGTCATTATAATTAATTTGTTGTAAAAAGTCGATTAACCATGATGACCGCTGAAAAAAGGAAGCCGTGAGCCACATTATCGCATTTTCATCCGTGTATAGCGTTCGTAAGGTCAATCGCGTGACGTCAACCGAAGTATATTGTGTCTCGCATAATTAATTCGTCGTTACGCGGAGGAATCTTTTTTCGTATCGGACACGAGCTTCGATGAGCCACGAAGGAACGGAATTAATTTTCCGCTCCTAAAAACCGTCGATCTTCGCCTCAATCAGATTCCTAGCTCGTGATCTTTACTTCAAGAGTTCGTTTCGTTCTCACGTCTCGTTTTCGTCGAATCTTGTTTCTCCGTCTATCTAAAATATCACGCTCGGATGATTTTTATTAATCTCGTATAATCTTGAGATTTATCATTTAGATGATTTGTTTCTTCCTCGAAATATTTCTTCCGAAGAAATCACATCTATATAACTTAATTAGAATATGAAAAATCATCGATTCTCCGAAAAAAAGACCTTTGTCATTAAATGCTTTTGAAAGGATGCACATTTTTCAAATAAGAATGGGACAAACACTCTCTCACAGATGATATCTTTTTTTGTCTTTTCAAAAGCTTATTAAAAAACATGTCGATATAGTTCTGAAAAGACAGTGATGACATAATCTTCCTCGAAGTCATCGATTGACATTAGCATGCATAATGTTTCGCGTCACGGTGCACATACTAAAAATTTTTAAATATATCACATATGGTTTTTTTTATCTGAATCATGGAGTGAAGCAATCATGCGCTCACATTATCGATTTATATCTCGTAAGTTTATTCAAGTTATCAAATATGAGTAATTTCTTTTGATATTTGATATAATTTCTCTCTCTCTCTCTATCTCTATCTTATTAAAAATTGTGTAATAATATATTATTATTACTCAATTATATTACTCAAAAATATGTCACAAGTATCCGAATATATACATAATATTGCAATTCCACGTCGACGTTGCGAGGCATTCGCTTGGTCTCGTGCGACTCGAATCCGTCATGCGAAGACATCCTTTCTCCTATAAGAACGAAGCTATTACATAGCGACGAGGTCGCATATTGCGCATGCAATCTATACGTATGCGTATACGATTGTCGACCATCGACTTGGCGTTCGTTAGAAGGACATCATCATTTCGGTGCTGTCACGGTCTTCGAATAAGGACGGTCGTCCCACTGTATACGCAATGTTTGCAAAAATGTCGAGGCTGCTCCGTCGCAAGAGATCTTTTCACGAGAATAATGAAGGAGAGAATAACATGTATACTGTGACATATACGCGCGTGTCGTTTTTCATTAGAAGATGTTAAAATTTCTCGACGACGACGATGTCGATGAGAACGTGCTTGTCAGCTTTAGCGCCAAGAATAGTCTGTAATCGTCTCCTCTGTGTTTGCCAGCGCGAGATAATTATGCGCGTTGCAATATCCGCAATGTCTCCAAGAGGATCGTGCAATTCCTTCTCGATGGGTTAATGATACGCGTGCCTCTCCGTTCGTTCGCGCTCTTCACATCACGTACATACATGCAAATTCTAAAATTTCAAAATTTTTATTTTTATTATTATAATTATTTATATATTATATAGGGTGCTAAATTTTAAACGGAACAGGCTGAATATGTCGATGACTAAATGAAATATCAAAGTCCGGCTTTTTTTGACGCGTACATCCAAAGTCAAATTCTTTTTATCAAAATTTGTCTGCCTCGAAATAATACAACCTAAAAAAAACGGACCTCTATATTTCATTTAGTTATCGAGGTGTTCGGCCTGTTACGTTTGAAATTTAACACTTGTATATATACAGGGTGTTCCAGGTCAGATCAATGAAACTTCAGGATCTTATAGAAAATTGAATTTGACAACTCAAAATAACGAAAAAAGTAAAAATTTGAAAAAACCATCTTTCAATAGTCTTTGTGTAAACATTACATTCATAGTGCAAACATTACAAATGCAAACATAAAAATATTCTTATTAAATTTTGATCATAAGTGATTACTTACAGAGAGTTTATTAGCTATAACTTTTTAACGAAGCGTTTCCGGACCTATGTTTATTGGAACTTTTTTTTGTTTTAAATTCAATTTCCTATAAAGATAGCATCAGACTATGCGCGTATTTGCAATTCGTGATTCGTAATTCGCGATTCGTGAACGGTAAAGAAATCTGATTGGTCGAATTTGACGAATCTTCCATCTACATTATCCACGAATTATAAAGGAATCGCGAATACGCGCATAGTCTAGCGCTAGCTTAAGATTCTGAAGTTTCATTGACCTGACCTGGAACATCCTACATACATACCTTGCGTATATGTATGTGCTATACGCAAAGTTTTGTGTAAATAAATAATTGTGTAAAATTTTATATTGTTTATTTCGTTTATTATATTGATTGTTTCTAAATTTGTTAATATAAATGTTTTTATCTATTAAACAAAAATATATAATATAGTGATTTTTTCTCATCTAATTTGTATACAAATATACATATTTTAATATTTTTTAAAAAAAGCAATAATCTTGGCAATCTTAATCTATATTATTTATAGTCTTGATAGCTAATTAAAAATCTTGTCTTGATCTTGTTTCGAATTTCGAAACAAAATCAAGATAAGATTTTTCTTTTTCGAATTTCGAAACAAGACAAGACAATATCAAGACTAATCTTGATATCTTGTGCAACCATAACACATATTATAAAATTTTCTCTATTAAAATAGATATAATTAAATTTCTCTATTAAAAAATACATATAATACGAAAAAGGCTAAAAATACAAAGAAGAAAAAGAACCAGGAAAAAGAAACGTGCGGATTTAAAAGTATAAAGCGAAAGATGTGAATGAATAAAAAATTTCAATGATAATTATTAATAAATATTAATCTGACAAGAGGGAGAATACACACATACACAAAAAATAAGATATGTCTTACATATATTTCGTGTCTCATAAATATTTGTTGAAATGTTAATTTATATACAGCTTCTATAATGCTAGCGGTACGTAGTTCGATGCAAAATAATTATCAAAAATGATGACATTTTTACGAGCTCTTTTTTTTATATATATTTGAAATCTTCGATTCTTGATTTAGCGATTCTTTTTACCTCCTTTCGATTTATCATAATCGCGCAGCTTATTTATCGCAAATAACTGTAGCATTAAGTGAGGCAGTTAATGTAAATGTAGTGCATGGCGTAAATAATAATACACAACGCACGCGGGAAACGAACCGCCAAAGGACAAAATATTTACGAGAAAGGCGCAAAGTGTGTTGTACGCGAATTATACGGCTTATATTCGGCGATTGTTTCGCTCTTAGAGCGAGAGGCTTATAAACGATGGGCATAAAATTTATTCAAGATACAGCCGCGGTATATGAGGGAGCAAAAAAAAAAACTTCCGTTTCAAGGAGACGTTGCCTAAGGGTTTTCAAAACCGGTTGACCTTGTTTCTTTTTGCATTCGGCTCCTAACTAATCGAATCAATCGTAGGTCAACGATCTCGACCGAAGATCATGATGTAACCATTCTCGATAAATCGCGAAAGATAATCGTTGATTGCTCGCCAATTATTTCAGGGTCACCAGAATAGGAAATTAAAAAAAGAATTAAAAAGCCTTGAATAAAGGATCTGAAGTTTTATTTCCTTTCGCTTCCTTTCGCAAAATAAATTCCCAGCTGTTTCTTTGTTCTTCGATTTTTCACCTTCATCTCAATGATAATTTATTAATTTGAAAAGCGCAAAATAATTATCTAATTAATATAATAATTAATTATTATTAATAATTAATTAATAATTATCAAAATAATTATCTAATCTAAAAATCTTGAAAAAAATCTTACGCCTTGTACAAGCGTGAAATTTGTTCCTATTTATATTTATACCAATTTATGCATTTTAATTTCCACGACTAAAAATTTCAAATGTTTTAATAATTCGTTATCATAATTATTGAGTCATCTCTCTTTTTTTTCAGGGGCAGCCGTTGCGGTCGGAGCTCTGCTGATAATCCTGGCCGCCGTTTTGGCGGTACTATTTCCGAATATCATCAATTTCGTCCTCGATAAAGAGCTCGCGATACAAGAGGGTGGTCGTACTTACAAGTTTTGGAAGGAACCGCCGGTGGTACCGCGCATGCAGATCTACATCTATAATGTAACGAACGCTGACGAATTTCTGAATAACGGCGAGAAACCGGTGCTACAGGAATTAGGTCCATACGTTTATTTACAACACTGGGAAAAAGTCGACATTAAATTCAACGACAATGGAACCGTTAGCTATAAAGTGAAGAAAACATTTATCTTCGACGAGGTAAGCCTTGTAACTTGTCCTAGTTTATAGCGTAATAATTTTAATTAGAAAATGCAAATCTTAATCTATTTAATGAATCAACCTTGATACTTTTAAGACTAGCGTGTATGTGTGTATGTATCAGTACTTTAATCTACAGAACATTGTGTCGAGATCGATTCTTTAATACATGTTTAATGTATGTATCAAGATATGTTAATTTATATATCAAAGTTAATTTTTTAATATTTTTTATTATAAATATTTAATTATACGTGTCATATTGCTCTTTACATTACAAACTATGAATAGCGTGTAATCTTTTTTTGAAATATCGAAGCTTTGATAATTTTATATGGAGAACGTCCGCGATTGGTATTTTTATCGCTCGGGATATATTACGTAAGATCGTTGATTATTCCTTCATCGAGAAACATGAGAATATCGATTGCTAAAAAAAGAAAAAAGGCCAGCAAATCCGCGTTGCGCTGCATGATAATCGAGCCGTCTCCGATCGCCTTCGAGTTATTTCAATCAGCTGTAGACATGCTCCTCGTCGCCATCTCGGTTGCACAGCTATTCTTGTTCGCGCATCGAAATCACTGCGGCGACTTTCTACATTCGTCAGAGAAACGCTTCCATAGTAGTAGCTGGATTTATGCACATAACTCGGTGGCAAAGAAAGAAAACACACGGATTATTTTCTTGCTCCGAGAAAACGTAATCGGAATATTTATAAATATGCGGAAGAGCTTTTTATTAGTTTACGTAATAGTCTACGTAGGCTTCTCATTTACTGCCTGGAGTATTTCTTCTTTTGCTTCTTTAAAAAATTATATTACTTATTAAAATTATATTACTTATTGAAATTATATTAATTACATTAGAAAAATGTATTACACAACTTTATATATTTTATTTATTATTTTATTAATTTTATTTATTATTTTATATATTTTATTTATTATTTTATTTATTTTTTATTTTCTGTATATTCCATTATATAACTTTGCTTCAGTTTTTACTTTATATTATATTTTATTTGTATCTTATTAAGTATTAGGCTTTATCTTTTCTTCTTTTTCGCTAGGTCTTTCTCGTTTACTGTTCAGATAGGCCTTTTTATTGTCCATTAATCCTTGTTTAAGATCTCCGTTATTGGACCCACTTTTAGTTTAAATTTGGAGCCATTAAACTTGTATCGATTTTTCTTCTCTCGGCGGAATTTTAAAGCAAATTCTTTTTTTTTCTTGTTAAAATCTTAGGAACTGTCAGCCGGTTCCCACGATGATCTTGTGGTCGTGCCAAATGTTCCCATGCTGTCGGCTACCAGCCAATCGAAACACGCTGCCCGTTTTCTACGGCTCGCGATGGCATCCATCATGGATATCCTCAAGATCAAGCCGTTCGTCGAGGTGTCGGTCGAGCAGCTGCTCTGGGGTTACGAGGATCCCCTACTGAAACTGGCCAAGGACGTCGTGCCCAAGGAGCAGAAGCTGCCGTACGATCAGTTCGGTCTTCTCTACGGCAAGAACTCTACCATGCCGGATCTCTACACGATATTCACGGGCGCCAACGATATTACGAAATTCGGAATGATGGACAGGTGGAACGGCAAGGACGGCCTCGGCTTCTGGACCACGCCAGAGTGCGACTCCGTCATGGGCACCGATGGCAGTATCTTCCCGCCCCACATTACCAAGGAGACCGTGCTCAAGATCTTCGACAAGGATCTCTGCAGGACGTTGCCGCTGGTTTTTCAGGTTTGTATATTTTATCCGGTTGATAGGACCAGAAGCAGATGATGGCCTTTCCTTGGAAACTTGAATCTAATGAATAATTTTCAAAATTTCAAAACAAAAACACAAGAAAATATAATATTTCCTGTTCTTTTCCTCTCAATATCTCGATTAACACTAACTGAATTTTATATAGAGAAAGATAACTTTATTTGACTTTATTGTTTAAATTTTTAATGTTTGTAATTTAAACCTTCCAATTTCTTAGTTTTTTACTACCTAATTGCAATGAGGCAATTTTATTTTTTATAAATATGTTGAAAATATTACAAAAAATACAGAAAAATATAGAAAATATAGAAAATATTATAAAAATAATTATATAATATATATTTGAATAATCTAAATTTTTTTCAATCAATTTGGATTAGTAGTCTAATGTTTGAACATTTACAGGTTCAAAATGTGATCGTCTTTCAAAAATTCGAAATTTGTATTTTAGCGTGAGGTGATAGCCGCCGGAGGAGTCCCCGGTTATAGATTTTCTCCACCGACGAATGTCTTCACTTCGGAGAAGAATTTACCGTCGCAGAAATGTTACTGTCCAGCTGGACCACCATGTGCACCAGAAGGCACGTTTAACATTTCCCACTGCCAGTACGATTCGCCGGTTCTTCTCACATTCCCGCATTTCTATCTTGGTGAGTATCGTATAATAATGATCTCTGTATATATATAGGGTGTTCCAGATCAGATTAATTAAACTTCATGGACTTATAGGAAATTGAATTTGGAACAAAAAAGTTCCGATAAACATAGGTCCAGAAACGCTTTGTTAAAAAGTTATAGCTAATAAATTTCGAAAGATCACGTTATTTTTGATGATTTTTAAAAATAACTTTAAAATCCTTCATTTATTTGAACAAAAACGGAATAAATCTGACGGGTAATTAAATAACGAACTAAATTACACCAATTTTATTTAATTCTGATAGGGCGTTCAAAAGAAAATAATCTCAAAACAACGAAAAAAACAGAAACTTGAAATAAACTCCCTTTGGTGGTTTTTATTTAAACACTATATACATAATGCAAACATTGCAAATGCAAAAATAAAATTGTTTTTATTAAATTTTGATTATAACTAATTACTTACAGAGAGTTTATTAGCTATAATTTTTTAACGAAGCGTTTCCGGACTTATGTTTATAGGAACTTTTCTGTTCTAAATTCAATTTCCTATAAGAAATCTTCTTGAAATTTCATTGACCTGACTTGGAACACCCTGTATAACAGTATATAATATAACAACAGAGCGTTTTGCTTATAAATTATTTTCGCGAAAAGAAAAGAAATTCCAGAGTTATTTTTAACCAGATTTAATTCTAAGGCTTGCTAGAATATTTTTAATTCAAAAAGGAGATATCAAGAGGATACACGGATAGATTGATTAATACGTGGCAAATATCGCATTTTGTTTTCGCTATAATTATAATTATTGCCGGGATTTGACTCTGTGGATGATGGACTTCCCTAATCACGACGCAATACATATCATTTGATACTTGACGTAACATCGTGCCATGAATCTCCGACGCATGTCGCTTAACCGCTACGCCGTAATTTATATCATTTTGCAATCTCAAATCGCGGATCGAATAATGTATTATCTTATGTAACCGTAGCGTATAATTCGCTATTAAATAAATTTTTAATATTTCGTGATAAATTCATTTCTCGTATACAAAAAACATGCGTTGTACTTTCCGCGATGATTCTCGTATTCATGTACGTTCTCTCAATTTTCAAGTACTATTAATTAACAAGCGATTCACGATTTCTCGCGCTAATCTCGTCTTTCTTTTTTTTTTTTTTTTCTTTACGTAAAACAGGTAACCAAACGATCAGCTGTTTTACGGAGATCGTTTATAAGCGTGTAGTTTCGTAAGCGAGATTCACATGTGTCGTGACGTTTCCGGATTCGCGGGACTACGTAGGAGTGGATTGAATAGTCCGTTACCTTACCGAGGCCTATTTTTTTCTTCCTCTAGAAACAATCTCCTTCTCTCACGCATCCGTCGCGGAATGCCACGATTCTCCCACGAAATAATAGACGGGCTTTCTCTCTCTTGTCTGAATTTACTGCGCGAATTTTTTTCGCACTGTCAACTTTTACTTTCAGCGCTTTGGACTTTAGGCTCGAGACATTGTTTCGTACCATCAGCCATAAAACCACTCTTACTAACAATAAGCGAAATTAAATATACACATCTTTCTCTCTCTGGTATACAATATTCGACTCTGATATAAAATTAAGAGGTACACAGGCTGTAACAGGATGTCCTAAATTAAGCGCAAGATATTTCAGACGTGAATTTTTTGATGAATTTGATATGACATGTTTTTTTCGATAATTTCGCTATTCTGGCTTTTAAAGTTTTTTGGAGGGAAAACGATGTGATAATTATTTTATCATCAACGCTTATATAAACGTCTGATACATAAAAGCCGCCTAATTATAAATGCGAAAATAATAACGTCAAGGATTTATAAAGTTCAAACAAGCAAAATTGATGGATTCCGCTGCATTTACGTCAATGTTTTTGTGTTTACGCGCTGCTTCGCATCTTTAAGAGATATTACGTGTCTTAAGTGACAATTCTTAAAGTGGCGTTTAATCGCCACTTAACTGCAGTGCATTATATCCTTATAGCGAGGGATAATGTACAAAGTAACTTTTGACACTACAAATCAATTATATAATGATATAATCACAACTTCAATGTAATTTTTTAAATTTTGTTTTTTATATAGTAATTTTTTTATGATAATTAAATATAGTCATCTTTTACAATAATTAAATATTATAAAAATTGATATGACCATATAATAAAATATTATTATGCAGTAATATAATTATTAACTGACATATATTATATAAGAAATTAATAATTAAATATAATTAATATATACTATATCTCTCATAACCGTATGTGAATAATCTCTCGCGTGATTAGTTTCTGATTATGATCGTCAATCTGTCATGATTCACGATAAGGTGCATAAATCCACGTCACAAACATTATGTTATTTTTACGATTACAAATTCTTACAACACTTCTTGTTTCTAAGATAATTAAGTATGAATCATTGCGTGTTTTGTTTAAATTATTACGCGTCAACTTGTATAATAATGAATATATCAAACAAGTATAGAGCGCGACGATTATCGCTCGCCTATCACAAATACAAATAAGATACGACTTAAGGCAAAAAGTGGGGACGACCGCTTTTTTACGGTTAATAATTACGTTAGGAAAAAAGCGCTACGTAAGAGCGTTCGCGTCATTTCATTAAGCTTGCTAACGTAGCATAAATTTTAGTAATGATGCTAATGAGAACATCAACGTAAACGAAGGAGGTTCGTCTTCTAATGTATGCTCGCAAATTCACGAATACTAATATAAAGGATATTAAATATGTCAAACTATTATTATAATAATTAAATAAATAGAAAAACGCGGTGTAAAAGTGTCTCGCGTTGTGGGAGCAAAAAATGAGCGAGTAAAACTTCTATTTATTGGTTTAACTGAAATAACAAAATTAAAAACAAAATAAAAAACGATTATGTCCACTGAAAAAATGTACCAAATCTAAAAAATATTGTTTGATTTAAAAAAAAAATGATTTATTTAAATATTTACAGAGAAATTAATTATTTCAATCAAGCAGCAAATATATTTAAATTAGTAAAATATAAAATTATTTTTTATCTTTATGTAGTAATTTATTTTTATTGATTGATATATCTCTCTTCAAATTCCATCGTGTTGCTTATCCGCGATCGTTTCTTCTAGCCGATCCGGCCTTACGAGAGGCTGTGACGGGCATATCGCCACCAGAAGCCGAAAAACATCAGCTCTACATTGATGTGCAGCCGATAATGGGCACGGCTATGAAAGCACGAGCGAGGATACAAATCAATCTCGCGGTTAGCCAAGTGCGAGACATCAAACAGGTGGCTTCATTCCCCGACATCGTTTTTCCCATTATGTGGTTCGAGGATGTAAGTATATAACGGCTATTATAATAATTATTCCATTTAGTAATTATCTCCAGATGTCCATATTGTTGTTTTAATATATA